ATATTTTATGTTGATGTGATAATGTTGCTGCCTGGAGGAAGTGGGATACAGGAGAAAAAACCATCTCTACTATGAGCATAAAGATCTTACAGGGTCTCGTGTGTGTGTGTGTGTGTGTGTGTGTGTGTGTGTGTGTGTATGTGTTTACATTGTCTTTTTGGACAGGGATCAGTAGCAAAAAACAGGAGCAGAGTCCATAGTCCCTGAACATTCATTTCATCCCAGAAGGAAAAAATTTCATCATAAACAGCAATTCACCAAAGACTGTATTTGCCTTCCACTAGTACTGGCAGGACAGCGGAGGCCCCATCTCCTTGTTGATAATGTTATGGAAAAGTGGGGAAGAAAAGAGTCATGAAAAAATGACTGCCAACTTGGACGAGAAAAAGAAGCAAAGTGCCCTGCACATCACAGCACACCCCCCACCCACTCACCTGCCCGACCAGCCACTCAGGCATCTACTTCTGTGGGGTCCATGCACAGTGATCTCCAGGCCTGTATGGGCTGTCCCCAAGTGTGCAGCAAGGCCACAGAGCTCTCCGGACACAGGGCCCCTGAGAGGCCGCTAGGACACTTGCCAAGAGAAGCCCAAGGAAGATGTGATTGTCTCATTGTAAGCTACAGGGTAGGCGTGAGAGTAGAGGAAGCTATACCTTTATTCCCAAATTTAATTTGTCTGGGTAAATTGTCACTTTTTAGTAGGTAGAACCTCAAACTACTGGGATGTGGATAGCATAAATTCCCATGATTTATGCAATAACTGTGCACTAATTCTGTGCCTCTGTTGTTCCAAGGAAATTTTTTCTTCTGCTACTCACTCACCTTGTTAATAGAAAGAAATTATGAGTCATTCTTTGTTGCACACTGAGACTTGACTTTATGTAACAGAACAGCAATATTGCACACCGGTAGGAGTCTGGGGCAATGCTTTTCTCTTAGTTTATAAATATAGAATAGACAAATGGATAGGTAGATAGATGATAGATAAATAGATGATGCTAGATGATAGATAGATAGATAGATAGATAGATAGATAGATAGATAGATAGATAGACAGGTAGATAAGAGAGAAAGAGGCAGAGCGCTAACCCAGTCTTAGACTGGCCTTCACTTCAACAATAAGTCCTCACCTGTTCTCACTGCCCACGGGCTGCAGCCACACCCTGTTGGCCCTTACCTCCAAAGCAGCTTCAAAAAATTCCAAATCATACTCACTCCTCTGACAAAGCTCATCTACCAGACTTTATTTTTCACGTTTCTTATTGTGTTTGATAAAAAGATCTGAATTCAGGGCCGAATCGGGTGGAAGTGGGATTTGTAAAGACTTTGCCTTTAGTTTTTCACCATCCCTGCACCTTTATCTGCTGCTCCTTCTAGAAAAAGAAATATTTCTTTTTCTAGAAGTTGCTACCCTTGATTCTCTGGCACTCTGTGACCTTCTAATACTCCTTTAACCACCCAAACCTAATATTGCTAGTCACTGAATTGCTTTCCAGAATCTTCTCTCTCTTTATTGATTCATGTCCATTTCCTAATTTGATCTCTAAAATGGAGTGGTTTATAATCTAATTTACATTTTGAGGTAACATTCTAGGTTACTCCTCCCTGGATTGTTTGTGTTTGAAAAAGGAATGTCAAAGGAAATTCAAAGGAAGTCACCTCAAAGGCTGCATTTTCAGTTACTGTGACAGTTGGGTAGGAAGGATGTTGCATGGTAAAAATGCTGCCTCTCACATTCTTAAACCATAGTGTAGGCTGTCTGCCAGTGTGTAGGGCAGTGTGCATTTTTATTCAAATTTCCTCAGGAGGATAATATAATTCAGAAAAGAAAAGGGATTGCTTATTGCTTGACACTGCATAATAATTTGTGGCATGTTATCTAAGATAGATGTCTTTACATAACAATCATGGCCATGAATATGTACAATACACAACATTTAAATAACCATATCCATTTTTATTTAATCTAGCAAAAAGGCAATAATATGGAATATATTATCTTCACTTTATCGAATAGAAAATTGAAGTCAGAAAAAATTCCCATCAAGGAATGCTTTTGAGAACTCGAATTCTGGGGAAGCACATTGAAGTCTACAGACACTCCACAGACATGGAGGCCACTCACCTGTCATGTGGCAAGTCCTCACCTCTGCCCACTTCCTGTCATTAGGTACCACTGAAAAAATATTCTCATAGTCACTGCCCACTGACCTGGAGACAGTCATGCTTTGCTCCAACTTTTGCAAAACTAATCAGAATGAGATGGAAGCAGGGTCATTCGTTCCTACCCTACCCGGTACTGAGCTAGACCTTCTTTGGTCCCCAGGTTACTCCCCCAAGACAATGTCTGCAGCCCTGCATCTGTGCCATTTCCTGTACTTAAAAGTGGTGTCCACCCTGTATTTATTCTTTGTTTTATTGGTGTTGCCACTTGGTATATTTCTCTTTCTTACAACTTTAAATAGAAATAATCCATCCTGTCATCGCAGTGTTTTCCTTCTAAATGAACTCACTAGAACCATTTTCTACCCTTTAAAAAATATATGTTTTTATTTATTTCAGAGAGGAAGAGAGAGGGAGAAAGCGATAGAAACATCAATAATGAGAGAAAACTCATTGATTGGCTGCCTCCTGCACACCCCACACTAGGGATCGAGTCCTGACCGGGAACTGAACTGTGACCTCCTGGTTCATAGGTCGATGCTCAACTACTGAGCCACACCTCTGGGCCCAGTTGCTACCCTTGATTCTCTGGCATAGCAATTCCAATTAGAAATCATGTGAGCAATTAAATCATAAAACAAGGCAATTATTTCTTAGCTTGTAGACTTAAGACATATGAGTCTTCTTAGTAACTTCAGTGTTTGTTTGTATGTTGTTGTTCTTGTTTTCAATTTATCTAAAAATTACTGCTAATGCTTAGGAGAGTATGAGGCTACAATCTTGGAGGCCTGGAAGATATGCTCCTCCCTATCTGTATGAAATTTCTTTGAACTGTCATATTCAAGCTTGAAAATCCATGTGTTACATTATTTTCTGTAGTATATCCTCATTTATTTCAATATGCAAGAAAAATATTTCAATTGAATATTCAAAATGTATGTCATGGCTAGCTCAGGGCTTAATGTTACCTTTTATGTAACTGGCCTATTCTCCATTGGGACTAGAAATTGAGAAGGCAGGGTGGGGCGGGGCTAACTCCTGACTCCATTTTTTGTACTGTGGGGCAGGACTAAGCTATCCTCCATTTTGTAACTGGACCCTAGCCCTCACCCAACCAATCAGGGTCAGCCAAAGCAGTGACATCACCACCCCTATAAAACCCCTTGACCTGTTGAAGCTCACTCTCTTCAGCCATGCAGATGTCGGTGTAAGTGGGACAGAGCCCATGCTAGCATAGAATTCAGGCTTTCTGCTATTGCATCGGACTCAGCTCCCTGGTGTTCCTTGAGGATCAAGAAATCTGGGCATAACAGAAGTGTGTTAAGCCCAGAGTTCCCAAGGAGAGGGGGGCTGTCAAGGCTGAGAGCTCAGGGCTCACGGAGAACTGAAACAAGGCCTCATCATTGCTGAGGCTGCAACAGCGACCATGATGCTCACAAGGAGGTAATACATCTGTGCCTCCCACACTGAGAGGATTGGATTACTGCAGAATGGTTTTCATCTCATGAAGATGTTTTAGTTTTTTGCTTATCCAGTTTTTTAAAAATTCTTTTAAAAAGTGCATTTCTCTAATAAAATATTGCAGTCATTTAAAAAGAAATGCAAGGTTATCAGTGTTTTTACTTGGTGGGGGACAATGGTTCATATTAAGTAACATAATCACTACACAGTGGGAACAGGGAAGAAGCAGGGTAAATAGACACACAGGGTAAATCTCAGGCAAACCTAGACCCAAAATTAGCATTGATACTAAGAGGAGAAAAGGACATCCAGGGACACAGAAATAAATTTCCCTGCTCTCCTAAGTCTGAGGCACACAGTGGGATATAAAACAGACCCTCCAGGCAGTACAAGGTGGAGACTCATTCACCTCAATCAGTAGTGGAGCAACAAGGCACTTCTCAGGCACTCAGTTTGACCTCTGGCATTTGAAACTCAAAGCTGCAGGATGAATTTCACTCTTCAAAACAAAACTTCCTCTTGAAAATTCCATTTTGCCAAAATGAGGTTTTGCTATTACTCAAAGTTTTATTTGCTTCTTCCTGAAAAAAAAAAAAAAAAAAAAAAAAAAAAGACTGCTCACACCATTGTGTTAATAAGTAATATAACCTTTTTCTTCCTGCATGATCTCTATCAGTGTTCTTTTCTATTTTTGTTTTTGTCTTTATCTTTCATGTTAAGGCTTTTTTTGTTTTCAAATGTGTAAGGATCTGGATGCTCACTCACACTTAATGGGATACAAATCTGATATTTGAGCAAGAGAAGATAGCTCCAGTTCCTCTGTTTGGCTCACATAACTCTCATCTAGTCCTGGTATCCAGATTCTTATTCCTCTTAAGTCAATATTTTCAGAAAAATAGGCATTTCCCCCCCTGAAAGCAGTAAGAAGGAGTGGAAATCTGACTTTCAGGTCAGGATGGGAGATGCGAGACTATAATGGTACCTCAGAAAATTGTGCTTTACACTGGATACATCCAGTTTCAAGTCCATACTCCCATGCTTCACTCTGATCTTCTGAGGTTATCAGGTGCTAATTCTTGAGACTTTCAGGGTACCTGGATTTTTGCTGCCATTTTCCTCTAGGGACCCTCAGGACTCCATTTTCTTCAGTCGGCTAAGCCAGTTGCCACCCTCAATTCGCAAAATACCTCATCCCTTGTCACCTATCACCTGTCCTACATGTCCTTGGGATTCATAACTTAGTAGATTCTCAGTAAACGCTCATTCAATGGTAAAGAGAAATATGATTAGCTAAAAGCATACAAGCAAACGAAAAACAGCTCCCAGTGGAAGGAAATCTAGTAGCTAGCCATAAGGGGGCAGTATCTCCATTCATAGTTAACCTGCAAGGTTAGCTCAAAACTCAGAAACCTCCAGTTAGAGATCAGATTGGCTGACACACAGAACAGATAGCTTCACACCACAGTGATATTTATAGTGCTGCTCTAAGCCCAGGGGAGTTCTTTTGAAGCAAAAATCCATTTAGGAAATAATTCTTTTTGAAGGACTTGTGATGGGGATGCTCCTTGAAGGTTTATTAATAATCCTCTGGATGCAGACACGTGAGTCTTGGGGCTTTCTGATTCTTACACAGAGAACTCTACAGGGGTGGAAATACAGTGAGTGCAGGAGATGAAGTTTTATCCATGTCTATGAAAAGAGAGAAACAAAGAGAAAAGGGAGAAAGGGAGGGAGGGAGGAAAAGGAAAAGCACTGAGGCAGGGCTGGGGAGTTAGGGAATAGAGTGTTCATCACAGCTTTGAGACAAGTGACTGAAAACTGATCCTGAATACTTTGTTTTGTCTTTAGAAACAGGGGTGAGTGGCCAACAGCTGAATCAGAGTCCTCAGTCTCTGTCCATCTCGGAAGGAGAGAGCATCTCCATGAGCTGCATTTCTCCCAGCACATTAAACACCTTGCTATGGTACAAGCAGGATGCTGGGAAAGGCCCTGTCCTCTTGGTAACCTTATATAAAAGTGGTGATTTTTTCAGAAATGAGAAACTGGCTGCTCAGTTTGGTGAAACGAGAAAGGACAGCTTTCTGAACATGTCAGCCCCTGAACTTGCCGATGCGGGCACCTACTTCTGTGCTGGGCAGCACAGTGCTCCCCTCACACCTGCAGCCCGCACTCAAACCTGCAACGGGACCCCAGTCTCTGTACTTCCTCTAGCTCCTGCTCCTCTTGGCATGAAATGTGGTTATGCATACAGCCCATGAATTCTTAATGCTTTATCTTCCAAACAAAAATATGAGAACATGATCATTAATACTATGACAATAAATGTTAATGTGAACAATAAGTGGTTAATTTTCTAAGAAAATATTAATTGATGAACTCTACTCAAGAAGAGGTAGACAAATTGAGTAAGCCAATCACATAAAATAAATATAGTTAAAAATGACACCAAGATTGGAGTGATTTATGGCTGGAATTTATAAGATTTTCTAGTAACAGGTTATTCTATACTGTTTGAAATGCCCTAGATTTTATAACACAGAAAAATCCAAAGATATCAAGCTCATTCCAAAAGGTTAGTATTATCCTGACATCAAAGCCTATGGAGAGTGGCACACATGCACATGCACATACAGATTACATGCTGATTTCCATTCTATGTAGGCATCAAATGTCCAAATAAAACACTAGCATACCAAATTCAGTGTTAATATACAATTCAAGTAATTTTAAAATTATTCATGTTATTTAATAAGGAAAAAATATGTGACCATTTCAATAGATGAAAAATAAGTATTTGATAAATTTTAAGCATTTTGTAACTTAACCACAGAAGAAAGATGCAGCAATGAATAGCATATATTGGTCCAAGACTAGACAAGTAGAACAATGGATATAATAGAGAGACTAGAATTAGATCCATAGATATGAGAGTTAAAGAGAAAAGTGGAACTACTAAAAAAAAAAGAAAGAGAGAAATACACCTTATGATGCTGATTCAATCGAATATCTTTATGACTACCTCATGTCATTCCATTTGAAATGTATTGCATGTAAATACTAAAAGTAAAATTCTAAAATTTCAGAACATAATACATGAATAGTATCCATACCATTGAAGCAGGCAGAAATTCTTAAACAAGAAATACAAATTATTAAGCAAGAAACTTAATCAAAGTACATATTTAAAGAGAGTGACAAGGCAAGTTACAAATAAAAAAAAATAAATTTCAATAGATTTTAAGTAGTTATCCATTTGGAGGTAAAAGCTGGTGAGTAGCCAAAACCGGTTTGGCTCAGTGGATAGAGTCGGCCTGCGGACTGAAAGGTCCCAGGTTCAATTCTGGTCAAGGGCATGTACATTGGTTGTGGGCACATCACCAGTAGAGGGTGTGCAAGAGACAGCTAATCGATGATTCTCTCTCATCGATGTTTCTAACTCTCTATCCCTCTCTCTGCCTCTCTGTAAAAAATCAATAAAAATATATATTAAAAAAAAAGAGCTGATGAGTATAATTCATTCCTTGACTCCTTTTGATTGACACCCAAGTTAGTGAGATTGAAAACATCCTCCTGGTAAACATTCCAATGCAATTAGTAGATGGAATATAAATGAGATTTTTTATGGGCTGTTATGAACTATTTCTGCTATGTTACATGAGAATTGTTTATTGTAATGAAGCCTGAAAATTAAGAATTTATAGAATGCAGCTGGCTGAAGAATGGAAATTAATTATATGGCCTATCTAGCTAAGTATTTAGAGAGATATAATTACTAGAAGCCCAAACTAAATTGTAATGTTTTGCTAAGATTCCTGACCTTATAGTCAACATTTATATACACAAAAGAAAGAATAGAAGGGAGATTTCTAAATATAATAAAAATTATAAACTAAAACCTCACAATAAATATATTACTGAGCAGAGACACTAGAAAGTTAGTATTAAGCAATCAAATAAGTCCTATATAATAAAAGCCTAATATGAAAATTGATTCAATGGTGGAACAACCAGCAGGACGACCGATCACTAAGATGCACACTGACCACCAAGGGGCAGATGCTCAACACAGGAGCTGCCTCCAGCCTGCAAGCCCCAGACCAGCAAGCTGGCTGCCAGTGGGGGAGAACCCCAATCACCCTGCCAGTCACCCCACAGATTGGCACTGATCCCTGGCCAGGCCTACCATGCACAAATTTCATGCACCAGGCATCTAGTGATTAAAGTCTTACAAGCCATTTTCCTCATCACTGCTACATTTTACAATCTTTTAGAGAAAGATTTCCTATGAAATGAGAAAAAAAAATATTTTTGAACAAATATATGACATACTAGAGGCCCAATGCATGAAATTCATGCACTGGTGGGGTGGGGCTCCCCTCAGCCCAGCCGGTACCCTCTTGCAGTCCAGGACCCCTCACTCCTTTCTGCCCACCTCTCGCTGCTCCTTAGTGCTGTGGCAGAGGCAGGAGAGGCTCCTGCCACCACTGCTGCCCTCACCAGCCTTGAGTCCAGCTTCTGGCTGAGTGGCATTCACCCTGTGAGAGCACACTGACCACGAGGGGGAAGCTTCTGTGTTGAGCATCTGACCCTGGTGGTCAGTGCAAATCATAGTGACCGGTCATTTCGCCATTTGGTCAATTTGCATATTAGGGTTTTATTATATAGGATGTTCCAAAACCATGAGATCAATAGTGAACCTTCAAAAGAGCTTTGGAAAGACCCTCTTCTCTCTCCCCAGCTTTTCCTCCAGGCTATCTCTCCTCAGTGCTTCAGCCCTTCCCCTCACAGGGGAGGTCCTGGCTTGAACTACGGACTTTCCGGCATACTGCTCGTGTCTGCCTTCCCCGAGCCACAGGACCACTGTGAGAGCTATGGGTAGCATTGGACTGTTAGTCCTTTAAGGATAAAACAATTTTGGAAGAATCTATCATCATTGATAAGATGTGTGGGCCCAAATTTTCAGTTTTTCTGCTCCCTGCTCACAAGATGGCAGTGCTCTCTTTCAAACAACTTCCCTCAGTGAGTGGGTGGAAGAGAACTGAGTTTGAGGTAAGACCCAATGACACTTATTTTCTGTTGGCAGAATAGCCGAGTTGCTATTTCCCTTTTGTGTGTGTGTGTGTGTGTGTGTGTGTGTGTGCATGTGCATATGTTTGCATACCTGCCAAGGAAAGAAAAGAGTCAGTTCAAAAAATAAAAGGAAGAACTCAGGGCAGTGAATCACATTCTGCTCAGGAAAACAAACTCTGGACTGAAGGATGGAGAAGTGGCCACAAGCTTCACTGGCGATCTTATGGCTTCAACTCAGCTGTGAGTAGTCCTATTCACAAGGTCAGCGACAACCAGGAAAACGGAGGGTTGATCCTCAGAAAATTAAGAAAGAAAAGTGGAACTCCTTTTGGCTTATCTGGGGATAAAACCTATGGTTTTAAGGAAGAGTAGTTATGATCTCTGAGAAGACTTGCCCTGACATCAGTCTCTCCGGCTAACTTTCATTTGTTGCTTTTTTCTGAACAGGGGTGTGCAGTGAGGACAATGTACTCCAGAGCCCCCCGTCCCTGCCTGTCCGTGAGGGAGACAATGCAACTCTCCACTGCCGTTACGAAGTGGCTAACTTCCAAAGCCTGCATTGGTATAAACAGAAAGGGAAAGCCATCACATTTCTGTGTAGGCTAATTACAAGTGATTTTGATTCAGGAAGAATAAAAGGCACCTTAGACAAGACAGAACGTTTCAGCACCCTGCATATCGCAGCTACCCAGATGGAAGACTCAGCCACCTACCTCTGCGCAGTGGAGGCACAGTGCTCTCCAGTCACCTGCAGTCTGTACCAAAATGCTACAGCTGAGCATCCTGCAACTATGAGATGGAGAACTTGCTAAATTGGGCATGCCCTCATGCAGAAGCTGTAAGGAAGCATCAGACAGACTGACAAACTTCAATGGAAGGTGGCGGGGAATGGGGTCAAGGGGAATAAGAGGTCAACCAAAGAACTTGTATGCATGCATATAAGCATAGCCAATAGACACAGACATCAAGGGGCAGGGGCGGGGGGGTGAGGGTATGTGCTGGGGGGTGGGGGTGGATGGGGGAGGTCAATGGGGAAAAAAGGAGACATGTAATACTATATGTAATACTTTAAACAATAAAAAATACTTTTAAAAAGCTATAAGGAAAAACAACTATTGGTCAAGATCCCCATGCCCCTGTTGACAATTACTTATGCAGTTCACTGAGACATAGTCAAACTGAATCACATCACAGAATTCACTATCTTTCCTGGGCTTTTCTAGGGGAGGCTAATGTCTTTAGCAGGTCACTCATATGATTCCAACTCCATGGCCATATGTATCAATATGCCCTGTGGCAGAAAGCAAGACCTTTCCCTGGCAACTGCTATGTGCACCACCCACCATGGATTCTGCGGCAGCATGGATGTGTTGCCTGTGAACGTAGTAAGCTCTTTTGAGGTGATGTGAGGAAAGAACTTCAAAGGCACATGGGTAGAGAAGTTTAGACGTGAGGGCAATACTTTATTGTGAATTAAGAGGGATTAACGCACCCTCGGGGAGGTAAAGGGTGGGCAGGCTCTAAAGCACTGCCATGAGGCTTTGGTTAATCCTCCATCTATCTTCTTGGTTTAGTTAAAGAACAAAGTACCATTCAAACTATCCAATCCAAACTTCTAACTTTTTCTGGGCCTGGATTGGGCCCTCTTCCCAGTAAATTCCATTGGGGTTTCATGCTCTATTTAATCTGATTGTTCCCAGGCTAAGCTCTGCCCCTCTGTTTTGTCACCCTGACTTACAGCGTGCATGTCCAAAAGTTTCATTACATCATCTAGCTCCTGTTGCACACGCACCCAGCAGTATTGGGCCTTGAGCATTCCCCCACCCCCATGAGATTTCAAGTCCCATTTCCAGGATGAAGTTCCCTAGTTGGCAGTTTCCTGGCTGTGAATGAGTCTATTTACCAGTAAACTAGATGGAATTCTGCTCTGTTGTCTGCTTCTGCTTCCCAGGCTATTAAGATTATTTAGTTCCCTTTTACTTTCTTCCTTATATTAATAACTTGCTAGCAGATGGATAAAAAGTCCTGTTTATTTTTTGTTTTATCTTTCCACGTAGGACCGGCACACTTATACGTAGAGTTCTGCCTGCAACGTTCCTTGCTGGACCTATTAGCAAAGAGCAAAGAGTGGAGCCCTGGCTGGTGTGGCTCAGGTGTTGGGCATCGTCTGTGCACTGAAAGGTTGCTGGTTGGATTCCCAGTCAGGGTATATGCCCGGGTTGTGGGCTCCATCT